ACACACACACACCCACCCACCCATCCATCTCATGAAACCACTCTGCTGTTAAACCTCATCCTCTCACTGTAGATGGTCCCTTTCCTTATTTGCTCTCTTCCAATCAGTTTTCCCAGCAGGTTTTGCTTCTCTGTTACTGCAGTATATCCCATCTGCATGCCGAAGTGTCCTTGGGCAGGATGCTGAACCCCTAATAGTGCTGCCCATCAATACACTGTATAAATGTGTGGGTGAATGGCAACCTGTACTGTAAAGTGCTTTGGTATGTGTCTCATTTACCATTTATTGTACATATCTGTAACAGCAGCATGATTACGTAAGTGGTCAGCAGCGGTTGGAATCAGCCAAAACTTAGGACAGTCGTTTAAAATATTTATAGTAGCCCATCAATACATACAGACTTTAAGAACATTGTGTGTGTGTATGTGCGTGCATGTGTGTGTTTTTCTGACTGAAAATAATGGCGACATGCCCGTAGAAGACACCAACGAAGATGTCTAGAGAGTTTGTGGTGATAGTAGCCAACAGGGGTAGTCTGTCTGTTGTCCAGAAAATCAAGTGATCTCCGCAGCCGAGTTATTACATCACTTCCTGCCTCTGCCTGCACCATCTCTCACCTGAAAAATGTGGAGGATTCGTTGTTGTGAATGCGTCTGTGCAGAGAACCTCCTACTGTGTTATGCATGTGTGAAAGGCACACTGCGGGTAAATTCCGTTGCTAATTCTCCAGATTTTACCTGCAGATCTGTCTGAAAACGGCTTCATTCAGAACATTCAGTGTGGAGCATGTAAATCTATACTTGGCTATCAGCTCCATGTAACAACTGTATCTTTTGGATGTGGAAACAGACCTTTCAACCTTGGTTTCTATCACTTTCCGTCTTCACCTTCTTTGCCTCCACAGATGAAGCTTTCTTCTTTTGAAAGGCTGGGTTTCCACAGTAACTTTGGTTGTTCCACTACCTGGGGAGAGCTATTGAAAGGTACCAGGGAAAACAGCTGTGTGGTCCACGATCTATTTTGGTGGTGCAGTATCAGATACACACCATAACTTTTGTGTCTGATTGAAAAGAGAAATTGACTCACTGGGAACCAATCTGGTGATATTATTTGTAATATCAGCATTTACTTCTTATTGACAGGTAAAATTATAAGAAATGTTGCCACTTTAAACTTATTAGAACATTTTGATAAATTTACTAGGATTGCGTTTCCTATACTGCTGCATGATATATCGAAAATGCATCGTCATAACATGCGCGATATACATGAAACATAAACATTTCATGTTTCATGCATGCACGCTCTGCATGTCATATATTTGGTCAATCAGATGGAGCCCTGCTGCTTGGGCTGGGCGATGAAACGATATTGATAATTGTGACAATTGACCATGCCACAGGGCTCTCACCACAGCAGCCAGACCCAGCTACCTCCACAATAAATACCTGTACATGATATAACTTTTCTTTGATAGAAATGTAACATTGGTAGAACTCATCCAGTCTCTGTTTTGATGACCAACACCAACAGCCAATGATAATGAGAATAGCGCCGCGCCGAACCAATCATTTGGCTGGAATAAAGTTACATCCACATCAGGTTTGGCTTGACACACACAGCACAGAGTGTAAGGAGCAGCTGCTAATGTTTAGGCTGCTGCACAGAGGTGGACGACTCTGCATCGATGCAATGACTGAACATAATCATGTTTAGCCACTACGTTCCTTGTTTTAGTCGTTTTCCACAGCTGAATAATTAACACCACTGCTTCAGGATCTTCCTGTGTCAGAGTCTCTGTTGGAGTTTCATCCTCACTCCTCTGACCTGGGCTCACTTTACACTTTAACAATAAACACCACCACTGGTCACAAGTTATTTGGCCATGTACAGGACGTTTACTTTGTGTTTGTTTTATTCTCTGGCGTTTATGAGACACATGTTTAAACCTGCAACACAACAGGACATCAGGGTTAAAGTGACCAGAACAATCCAGGATCATGATCCGACATCATCGATTAATAGCTATTTTAGAATATTGGACTAGATGATGAATATCCCATGTGATTATCAGTTTGTGTGTGACGAGGGACAAAGACGAGTGGGTACACACACACTCACACACACTCACTCCCGCAAATTACAATGTAACGCTGTGTTTTAACTTTATTTCAGAAGAAGCAACCCCCCGTTTATCCAGGAACATAGATATGACTTCATCAGGTTTTTATAAAGATCAGTTCTAAGTGTGATTAGAAAACATCCGAAGAGCAGAGTCACTTGTTGACCAGCGGAGTAATGCGCCTCAGTGGAGCTGATTTAAGATAAGATGAAACTTTATTAATCTACACTGAGAAAATTCAGTTGTTACAGCAGCAGGCATGTCAGAATGAGGTAGATACAAGAATAAAGAAATATAAAAAGGCATTACAATTTTTTTGAGTATGGGCAGCTGAGTTGGGCAGCTGTGGCTGAGGGGTAGAGTGGTTGTCCTCCAACCACAAGGTCAGCAGCTCAATTCCCAGTTTTCCCCATCTGCATGCTGAAGTGTCCTTGGGCAAGATGCTGAACCCCAAATTACCCCTCAGAACAAAGTGCTGCTAATAGATGCACTGTATGAATTTGTGGGTGAATGGCAAACTGTACAGTAGGGCTGCAACTAACGACTATTTTAATAGTCGACTAGTCACCGACTATTGAAACGATTCGTCGACTAATCGGATAATTATTATTTTTTTCTTAAATTTAGCATGAAGTTGCTTTAATTGTGTGGCAAATGATAATTAACACAAGAAAGATGTCCTATCTAAAACCAATTAGGCACAGTGCTCGGTCAGTATAGACATAAATCCATAAATAAATAAACCTCTGTCCATTTTTTAAGGACAGGCAAATGTGTTTTATAAAAAATTAATAATTAATTAAAATTAAGTAAACATTTTTTCCTGTAAACCAAGGACAGGCACATTAGCAGCAGTAAAACAGTAAATAAAACAAATATTAAGTGCGTTTTGTGAAGTACATTCAGTGGTCAACTGCACAGTCTGTTGCAAAATAACTTTACAATTCTCAACAGTTTGAAATCTAACAGTTTTAACAACTGTTTGTAGATACACAGCTGAAAATAAAGCATTCAGAGTTGTCCAAATTCAAGTTGTAAACATGGACTGTGTGATACAACCTGGACACAAACCTGTCATGGTGGACAGACCAGGTTTAAAATGAGGCTCAGGCTATGTCATTCAGTTTATTCATACTAAGAAAAGTCAGCATATCCACATGCTCTCGTGTGAGGCTTGCTCTCTTCTGMGAGCAGATATTTCCTGCTGCTGAGAAGATTCGCTCTGCCYGGGTGGATGTTGCAYGAATGCACAGAAGAGATCTTGCTAGGTTTGACAGTGTGGGAAAWCYCCCCTCATTTTCTCTCCACCAGCTGAGAGGGTCATCCTTTTTGGCTATTGGTGCCTCTGTGAAGAACATCTGAACTTCCCTCCTCACCATTTGGATTTTTTTGTCCTCCTGGGTTTCCTCCTCTTCATCACTCAGACTGTCAGTGTCAGACTGAAGAAGGTTATCCAGCGCTGACTTTGCCCCTGGGACATTACCCCTCCTCTTCTGCTCTAGCTCAGGGGCATCATATATCCCAGTCTCGACCTCAACTGCACTTTGCACCCTTGTGCCATCTTCAGGTGAGATAAACTTCATCTTTCTGAATCTTGGATCAATGGCAGCTGCAAGAACAAGTGGGTTGTCTCTCTCTGCAGACACAGTGTTAAGATTCTCCCATCTCTCACTTATTCCTTTTCCTGCAATGGCTAGAAAGGCTTTTCCTGAGCTCGTCTCAAACTGGGTTTGCTGTTTGGACCGTTGCAACCCTTTGACCGGCTGTGGAAGACATGAAGCAGTAGCATACTCCTGTCCACTGAGGAAAACGGTAGCACATTCAAAAGGCCCCAACCCTTGCACCAGCTCTTCAAGTAGCACCCACTGCTCTGGTTTCAGGTCAAAGTAGTGCTTGCCTCTTGGTGTTACCTCAGGGTCAGAGAGAGTTGCAGTGACTGGCCAGCGCTGCTCCAGGAGTCTCTCCACCATGTAATAAGTACTATTCCATCGTGTACTGACGTCCAGGATCAGCTTGTGCTCTGCGGTGTTAATTTGCTGCTGCTTCTTCTTCAGTTTTGAATTTGCCAGCTCACTTCTCCTAAAGTGCTCCACTAAGCTTCTTGCAGCACCAGTAGCTTTGTTGATGCTGGGCTCTTTGAGGGCACTGTTGACAATAAGTTGGAGGATGTGCCCAGCACAGCGGACTGAAGACCAACCGTGTTTATCTTCCAGGAGTTGAGCTGCCGCCACAATGTTAGACCCGTTGTCGTGTACTATTACTTTAATTTTGCTAGGCAAGATGTCAAATTTCTCTATCACCTCTTCCATCCATATCATGATGTTCGCAGCAGTATGCCTCTCCTCCAGAGGTAGAGTGGCGAGGTTCAAAGTCTTCATTTGCCAGTCTTTGGTGATGAAGTGACACGAAACTCCAAGATATGCCTCTGTGGCACAGCTGGTCCAAACATCAGACGTCAGTGTGAGGGAGCTGTTG